ACCCCCATGCTGGCTGGGGAATTCTGGGATTTGAAGTCCACTCATCTTAAAGTGGCAAAGTTTGGACAACACTGCTCTAAGCCAAAAGGGGTTGCATACTCTTTTTAGAAAATGGCAGCATGAAGTGGTGATTGAAGTTGTAGTTTTGCTACAGGGACTACAAGGCTGGGTTACCAAAAGTAACTTAGCAACTAAGGCTGACCTATTCTCTCTGTCTTCCTCTTGTACAGTTAGGCATGTGAATGAGTCCACATCTGGAAGTCTGCAGGCCACAAATGTGCATCTGGAGTTCTCCAGGACAGCAGCTTTCCATCAGAACCTCAATGTTCTCAGGGCTGAACTGACTCTCTTCAAGGAGTGGCTAAATCCTCCCAGCAACTCTCTGTCCAATATAACATGGCCAGCACGTGTTAATCTCTACCGACTGTCCAAAAGAGAGAAAGTAACCCCTGAGCTACTCACTTCCCAAGTGATTTCAAGAACTTCACCAAGCCTCAGTCTTAAGGGTGTTGTAGAACAATGGGTAGCAAGCTCTGAGCCCAAGCTGTATCTGGGACTGGAGTTTAGGTCAAACATGGCTGCGTGGCTGGCCACTACCATGACAAAAGAAGGGACAGAGATGCTGATGATAGAGACTGAAACTCGAAAGGCTGTAAGGAAGGCAAGGCAGCTTGATGAAGAAGAATGCAGGAAGGGCGATGGGAAGTGCTGCCTGAGGTCACTTAAGGTCTCCTTTGAGGCCATTGGGTGGTCAGACTGGGTGGTGGCCCCGCGAAGCTACTCTATGAAGTTCTGTGAGGGTTCCTGCCCACACAACTACAAACCAGCCAGCATGCATGCCCAGATCAAGGCTAGGTTGCACAGCCTTTCTGGGGAGACTCCGGCACCTTGCTGTGTTCCTGCCGCCTATGAGCCGATGGTGCTTATGCATTATGGCAATGATGGCAATGTGGCCACTCAACTCTTTGATGACATGATTGTTACACGGTGTCACTGTGCATGAAATTGGGGAGGGAGATTCTGGGAGAAGAGGGATCCTACTTGCTTAAATCAAGGAGTGCAATAGTAATAATGAACCTTTTTTAATGAACTCATATCTAGAGCTGAGCTCTTTTTGGTATAAAAGTAGAACTTTTCTGGGAGGAGTAAATGTCTTATGCACATCCTCTCTGTGTACTTTCGTTCTTATACAGCAGTTACTCATGGCCAAATCAGCTGCTCCTTTAGCACTGTTTTGATGAAAACTGGGTTATCTTCCTAGTAAATCATCTTAACTTATCAGGGATCACACTGCAAGGCCAATCAGAGATCACATGGTCAACATGATGATAATCCAGTATCATTTATCATCATATATCAGTGGATGATAGAGGTGGGAATTGCCTCTTTGGGTTCTGAACCTAGAGAAAGAATCTGGAGGGATTTTCTAACATTTTTGTCAAAATGACTGTGCAAATACAGGGAGCTGCTGTGAAGAATTCCTGGGCCCAAGCTCAGAATTATGATCTAAATCCCCACTGGATTTATGTTTATGCTCTTCTTTCTAGTCACATCTTTTTTGCCCTGAATTATGGAATTCCTCCACAATGCTCCATAACTGAATGGCAAAAAAGGCCTCTTTCTATTTCTTTTTTATCGCAAGTAGGTCACATTTTTTGTAGAAGGGGATACAGATAATTTCAGGTTTCCTTCTTGACTTGTAAATAATAAGTACTTTATACACCAAAATATTAAATAATAATGTTCATAATGAATAAATCTGTGGGCTTTTTTGACATGCTTCGGGGGCAGAAGAAACTGATTGTCACTCTGCCCTCCAAGCACCCATGAGGAAGCTCAAACTGTTTCATTGCTCTAATGTTTTTATCCTGTTGTCTTATTTATTTTTAACTTATTCTTGTTTATATCAATACTGTTTTGTTATTAGTTTATATTATTTATAAAAGAAGATTTATTTGGAGGGGGAAGATAATTAAGAAGATAATAAAATTAGTAGATCAGAAGATATGACTGAGGTCTTGTGTTCTTTCTTCCAAAGGGAATCAGCTGAGTAAAACCATCTCTTTGCAGGTTTTACCAATAAGAGAAACATTGAATGCACATACATTTATAAAATTTAACCTTGCTCTGACAGTCACCAAAAAATCCACATAAAGGCTGGAGCACCATCATGCTTTCAGCATCCCCTTTTAGATACACAGACCAGTTTCCTCAGGTGGAGCCACAAACAAGCTAAAGACTTTTTTTCTGGCTGAACATCTGTCCAATGCTAGCCATGACAAGCACATGGATGTGTATGAATGGTTGAATCTCACCTAGGATGGAACCAAGCAAAGCTAATTGTTCATAAGACATCCTTGGATGAGGTGAAACCAGACCTTTGCCTTCCTGTTGTCCTTGGAATAACTACCTCATAATTCCACAGCCTTGAAGCTATCACTTCAGGGAAAACCTTCACCTCACTGCTTGATCTTATGCCAAAAGTGACTGAATCTAGAAGCCAAGGCAAGGCCACAGATATTCTTGGCACTGGCCACTGTAATGAAACTCTGGACTCGAAAGCCAATGACTTTGCCAAGCCAAATCATTCTGATGGCATTTAGCCAGAAGTCCTCACAATAAAACAATCATCCCTGCCATAAAAAAATATTCCACTGATTTGTTTATTAAAACAAACCATACAATCTGAATGGAAAGGTTTGTGCAGTGTTTTGGGAACGAGAAAAATAGGCAGGGGTTTGATGGGACAAGTTCGTTTGAGAGGGCTTCTTCTTTCTTGATTCAACAGAGTCTGGGGTTTCTCTTGCTCCATCATCTAACCTTCATGATCTCAGGATTCTTGGTATGACAGAACCAGGATGAGAAGAAGTGTTATCATCTTGGACAAGAATATGTGGTTATGCCAGGAAATGGATTAATTTTGTTTCTCCTTGAAAAAAAATCAAGGCACTATATAGGATTATTTTCCCTCCTCTACTTTAACCTCACAATAGTTCTGTGTAGTTGGTTAGCTTCTTAGGGAATGATTGGCCTAAAATCACCTAGGAACCAAGACGGCTGACCGAGGATTTGAATTCAGGTCCTTCCAGTCTTAGTTTATCCATTCTCACCTTTCTTTCTTTAATCAAAGGATCTTCAGAAGAGTTGGAGGAACACCTTCCAGCATTCCCAACCATCAGAGGTTGAGACTGGGGAAGGATGACCTAATTGCTATCCCACACTGGTTCTTGTCCAGCTTTGTAACCCAACAAGGCAAGTTAACATGGCAAGTCCCTCCCTCTCTATCTCCCATATAAGGTGCAGTAAATGAGCAGCCATGACCTATATGGGTTAGGCACTTGTTTAGACCATAATTCTTTAACCTCCTGTTGTCAGGATAGCTATAATCACCTGTCCCTTCCAGCTCATCTTCTTGGCTGGCTTTCATGCTGACTCAGAGACCAAGGAACATCTTCAAACTGCCACCTATGTCTTTCCTGGATTCATGGACTCTACTCCACCTCCTTTTCCAGCATCTCTCTCATGTGCTTTGCCAGAGGTCAGGGAATCAAGAGCAGGAAATAGAATGCTTTTCATAAAAAGGGAAGCTGAACATGATTCGTGCAGGACTAGGTCAAATCCTTGTCTGAGGAACGAGAAAAGATCGGGCAACATCTCCTGGAACAGCAAAGGTTAGGTTTTCAATAAGCTAATGCACACTAATTTAGGAATAACCTGATGCACAGTAACTGAGGACTTTTCTCAGTTGTACCTAACCACCGCAAAAGCATGCCTTGGTAAATCCTTGTAATGTTGCCTTCAGCTTGTCTCCAAGCCTTGAATGAGGCAAGCTTGAGACATCCGTAGGTCTTCTGGTGTTAAAGTGGCATTTCCTTCTTGTTCTGTCATCATATTAAGAACAGGATCAAAAGTTTGGTCACCCATTACATTGGCAGGAAGTTGGGAGACTGGTAGCGATTGGGAAGAAAGACAATCCAGGTGGGAGAGAGATCTGCAGCTTTCAATATTCTGCCTCACACACTTTGCATCATCACTCTGCCTGTTCTGTCTCTTAGCCCCACCCAAAATGTTAAGTGTGTCCCTGTCCATCAAAAAGATATTTACCCCTTGCCTTACAGACAAAAGTACACTAGAAAACATATAAAAAATAAAACCAATGCTATCAATGTAAATCAAATTAAATAAAGTAACAGTAGCATAAGCATTTAAAAACAGCAACCCATTTAGCACCAGAGGCTAAAATATCTAAAAACATCCTAGAGATTAAAAACAGCAGGACTAGTGGAAAAAATGGAATGCTCCAAGGGTGGATCCAGTGAGGATCCTGATTTCTCATTTCTCTAAGGCTGAAAAATGGGATTCTTCTGCCATGGATTCTCTCTCTTCTGTGGCTCCTTGTTTTTGGCCTTGGAGAATCACTACTGTGGGTGCTGCTCCTGATGATGATGATGATGATGATGATGATGATGATGATGATGATAATGATAATGATGATGGTGTTGATTTCACATGTCTATTCCAAAACAATCCAATGAATTTAGAGTGAATTTTAAAATATATTTAAATGTTCACATGTACCATGAAATGCTTAATTAAAAAACCCAAAAATTACCCCCCCAAAATTCTGAAACTCTAATTTTTAAATCAGTGATGCAGCGCCTAGCACAATTGCCCAAAAGGTGCCGCTTAGTAATCTGGGAGAATCCCTATGTTGTGCCCAACCTTAACCCAGCTCTGCAACTGGACATGGAATGCCCAGGTGAAAACAGCAGAGGGAAAGTGAGTTGCCTTGGCATTGGAAAAGGAGTTTGAGTGTCAAAGAGCTGCCAAGAAAGAAAGGCAATGCTGATCAGCGTGAGGAATTAAAGAAACTCTTTGGAAGAAAGATGGGGAAAATTATGGAAAAAGTAAAAAATAAAAACAAGATGAAAATAGCATTGAAGGTGTTACCTAGCCAGGTAATGAAACATTTGCAAGAAAACAACCAAGCTCAGAGAACACCAAGGACTCTAAAGATGAAAATAAGGTTTAAACAACAGTAGGAACAGATTTTCTACACGGGAGAAATCTGGGGCCCACCAGAGCTTGCTAAAACAGAAAGACAGCGTCCCTTATCTTTTTGCTTGGTAGCTAGGGTTGTCGGGACTTGTAGTTTAGCAACCTGGGAGGGTCAAGATCCCCAACTCTATAGAAAAGACTGTCCCTAAGTGGATGGAAGACCTCAAAACTGGAGATCTGCTCCAAGGGTGGCCTGACTGCTCATATCTAATCTGACTCGGGGAACTAAGGGTCTCTGACAAAGGATTTCATTTGGGGGTGGGCAAAAGACCAGCTGAAGGGCAAATGCGGAAGTAATCTGGAATCTCGTTTGCACTGCCCAAGGCAGGATGCCAGAAGCAGCTTCCATGAATGGTGTAAGTTCTGAGCATTCTACAGTGTTCTGAAAGTGGTAACTTCTGCCATTGACATCATAAAGGCCAAGCCTGCATGTTCCAAAAGATGGATAACAGGCTCTATTGTCTTGCAAAACAATTATTTTTTTCTAAGCAGAACAAGGCCAGCAGCATTTTTCATAGCGACAGGCCGGAACTGCCTGCATCCAGATTCAGGCTCTCCTCTAAGGCCATGGTGCCCCTCTACTTGGCTTTCATGGGCAGCATGATTAGAAGGGCAGAGGAGCAGTGGGCGCACCCCACCAAAGGGGCCTGGAGATGCCAGCCCAAAGAGCACCAAGGACTAAGCAGAAGGCAGGGCCCCATTCCCAGCGCCCAGAGAACTGAGTGGGAGGAGACACAACCCCCGCCCCCCGCCATACACACACATACCTTTCAGGAATTCATATCTAAGCATGGGAGTCTAACCAACCTTGCCTCCTGCTGTCAGCTTGCCCCATCCCTATACCTGTTCAGAACCTGGTTGTTGCCTAATTTAGAGAACCCCCCCCCCCAAAGATGGATAAGAACAGCCAAGCTCAGCCCTACAGCAGCTCTTTCTCTGGACGACTGGAAGTAGCCTTT